ACTTGGAAGCCGCTGGCCTGGAAATCCACATCCTGTCCTACTGTCCCCGCAGGGAGAGCCACACCTGCGGGCCTTGCCCTGGGTCGCCAGCAGTCCCCTTTAGATGGGAAAGGAAGTGGCACCGTGACTTTGAACTTAACAAAGGACGGGTAACACTGGCCTTAACTTTTTGAGTGAACCTCTGTAGGGTTTTCCGTAATGGCTGTTCCAGTGCACATTCCCATCACCAGTGTACAGGGTTCCCTTTGCTCCGCGCATCACCGACACTTATCGCTTATCTTTTTCATAAGTCATCCTAGCAGATGTGTGGAGATACCTAGTGGCTCTGGTTTGCATTTCCCTGTTCATTAGTGATTTTGAGCGCCTTTTCTTATACCTGTTGGTCATTTGTACTTCGTCTGAAAAAGTCCATTCAGATCCTTTGCCCATTAGTTAATTGGGTGTTTTATTAATTAATTTATTTATTTTGGCTAAGTTGTGTGAACTTAATGTATTTTGGATATTAACCCCTTATCAGATATATGGCTCACAAATATTTTCTCCCAATCTATAGGCGGGTTTTTTTTTTTTTTTTTTTTCATTTTGTTGATTATTTCCTATGCGGTGCAGAAGCATTTTAGTTGGATGAAGTCCCATTTATCTAGGTTTGCTTTGGTTGCCTGGGCTTTTGGTGTGATATCGCAAAAATCGTTGCTAAAGCCAGTGACCCAGCCATCCCTCTTCTGGGTGTATACCCAAAGGAAATGAAATCAGGATCTCATAGAAATCACTTTCAAGTTCATGCAGCATTATTCACAGTTGTGAAGATTTGGAAACAACCAGTGTCTGTTAACGATTAATGGATAAAGAAATTGTGATATATACATATGCATGCACGTGTGCGTATTCACGGACGCACAGACACACACACACAATGGAATGTCAGCCTTTAGAAGGCGACCCTGACATTTGCAACAACATGTATAAACCTGGAAGACATTATGCTAAGCGAAATAAGCCAGACACGAAAAGAAAACCACTGTGCCATATCACTTATATGTGGAATCTTACACACACACACACACACACACACACAAAGAGAGAGAGAGAGAGAGAATACATGGAATCAGTGGTGGTTACCAGGGACAGGGAAGAAACAGAATGATTCAGGTCAAAGTGTACAAAGTTGCAGTTATATAGGATGAGTAAGTCCTAAAGATCTAATGTAGCATGACCGTTATAGTTAAAAATATTGTATTGTAAACTAGAAATTTGCTAAGAGAGTAGAATATAAGTGCTGTTACCATTAAAAAAAAAATGCAGCTGGGTGTGGTGCACCCATCTGTAGTCCCAGCTACCCAGGGGGCTGAGTGAGCTTAGTCGCACCACTGTATTCCACATGGGCGACAGAGCAAGATCATCTCAAAAAAAAAAAAGAAAAAGAAAAAGAAAAAAAGAAAAAAAATTGTGTAACTATGTGATATGATGGACATGTTAATTTGCTTAACTCTAGTAACTATTTCACTATATCAAAATATCATGTTGTATACCTTAGATACACACACACACACACACAATAGTCTGTTTAAAAGCTAATCATGCTTTAGCATTTAAAATACGGAAGGAGTTTGAGAAAGAAGACACAGGGACTCTGAAGCCATCTTATTTTACTTCTCTAACAATCCTTTTTCAGCCTTCATCTGGTAGTGTTTGGATTAGATATAAATGTTCTAAGATAAATCCTAGGAAATCGATTGGAAAGTAGTAGCCTTGTGGGTTTTTGTTTTAAAGAAGAAACATGGAGGACAGCCCCTTGCTTTCTCCATTTATAAAGCTGAGGGATGCACCCCATCACCTTAATATTTAGAAACACCTAGAGCTGACATCCTCTGGCCGCTTCCTTAAATAAACTAAAGCAGCTGCTTACCCTACTATCCTCACTCTAATTGACAATTATTGAAAAGTATTTTTCAGAGATGGAGGCATTTTAAAATTTAGAAGTCAAGGTGGGAGTAAAACCTTTTTCTAGAAGAGCTATTGAAAAACCACAGATGTGCCTCTAAGGAAGTATGGCCAACCAGTACATGGCTTTTATATCTGCCCAATTAGCCCTTCCAAACCCATGTACAGTTTGGGGGAAAAAAATGGAAATCCTCCAATTTTTGGACAAAGTGCAGCATTTTGTTCCGTATGTATGTAATACAATAGATTTATTATTATTATTATTATTCGTCCTTCTCTGGCCCTCCTGAATTTCCACTGACTTTAGAGGTAGAACTGGGGTGGTGTTTAAAATTAGAAAAGGTCACTGCTAAAGGCAGGGTAAAGTTGTGGATCAATGATTCAAAGACAGGATAATGGTTTAGATGAATGTTTTTCAAACTTGAGTGTTCAAGGTTTGTTAAAACAGAGGAGTTCTGATTCAGATCTAGGGTGAGGCAAATAATTTGCATTTCTAAAAAGTTCCCAGGAGGTGTTGCTGCTAAGGGTCTAGGAGCACAGTGGTTTGGATCAGAATTCGCTTCTCGAATTTAAAAGTTCATATGTGTCTAGTAATATATACCACATTTTTTTGTATCCATTTATCCTTCCATAGATATTTAGATTGCGTTCACACTTTGACTATTGTCAGTTGTGCTGTATTGAACATTTGGGTCCTAATATCTCTTCAAGATTCTGATTTTCATTCTTTTGGAGAAACACCTGGAAGTGGGATTGCTGGATCATATGGTGGTTCCATTTTTAATTTTTTGAGAAATCTCCATAATGTTTTCTATAGTGGCTGCACCATTTTGCATTCTCATCACCAGTATACAAGAATTCAATTTTCTCTACATCTCTACCAACACTTGTTGTCTTTTTAAAAACGTAATAGCCATCCTCATACAATGGAATATTATTCCACCTTAAATATAAGGAATTCCCATAATATGCAACAACATGGATGAACCTCAAAGACGTTATGCCGAGTGAAATAAGCCAGTCACAATAGGACGAATTCTGCATGATTCCAATTACGTGAGGTATCTAAAACAGCCAAACTCAGAAAATTAGGAAGGAGAATGGTGGTTTTCAGGTTGTGGAATCAGGGAGAAAAGGGAAATTGCCAATGAATGGATGTAAGTTTCAGTTATGCCAGATGAATAAGTTCTAGAGATCTGCTGCACCACATTGTGCCTACAGTTAACAATAGTCTTGCACATTTAAACATTTAAGAAAGTAAATTTTATGTTGTGTTCTTACTACAATTATTAAAGCTCATATAAATTATGTAGGATCTTATAAAAGTTTAGATTCTGATTCAGCATATCTGGGATAGAACCTGAAATTCAAATTTTCTAATAAGTTTCTAGGTGATGTCAATGCTGTTGGTAGACCACACTTTGGTTAGCAAGGTGTGATGGTTAATACTGAGTGTCAACTTGATTGGATTGAAGGATGCAAAGTATTGTTCCTGGGTGTGTCTATGAGGGTGTTGTCAGAGGAGATTAACATTTGAGTCAGTGGACTGGGAGAGGCAGACCCACCCTCAACCTCAGTGAGCACCATCTATTCAGCTGCCACTGTGGCTAGAATTAAAGCAGGCAGAAGAATGTGGAAGGACTAGTCTTCCAGTCTTCATCTTTCTCCTGTGCTGTATACTTCTTGCCCTCGAACATCAGACTCCAAGTTCTTCAGCTTTTGCACTCTTGGATTTACACCAGTGGTTTGCCAGGGGCTCTTGGGCCTTCAACCACAGACTGGCAGCTGCACTATTGGCTTCCCTACTTTTGAGGTTCAAGGACTCAGACTGGCTTCCTTGTTCTTCGTCTTGCAGATGGCCTACTGTGAGGCTTCACCTTGTGAGCTTGTGAATGAATACTCCTTAATAAACTCCCTTTTATATATACATCTATCATTCTCCCTGTAGAGAACTCTGACTAATACACATGGGTTCAGATTAGAATTCAGTAGTTCCCACATCTGCTGTGCATCTGACTCACTTAGGGAGCCAGCTAGTTAATTAGCCCAGACCTTCTGTTTTAATGTTTTAGAAGAGGATCCCAGGAATCTGTATTAAAACACAAACAAACCTAGATAAGTATGATGCACACACTTAAGAAACCAGACGTACATAATACCAAGTACTATAAGTAAGTGTTGGACAATATCTGCTTGTACAGCCCTGAACTGGAGAAGGTTGCAGGAGAATGGATAAGTGTTAGAATCCTGAGCTGGTATTTTAGAGGAAAACAAGTTTTCTTTCTACACATGAAATAAAGAGAACATAATACAAGTAATCTGAGACTTGTCACTGAATAAATGCAACTGCCTTTATTTTAAACACACATTTCCATTTACTACATATAAAAATAGCCCACTCAGAAAGTCACCCTGTGATGTTCCCCTAAACATGTATTATGCTTTCTGCATTTGCTATGCCTTTTATCTAGAATGTTCCAAACCATTACCCCATCCCAGGCTCTCAAGTAAGCTGTCCTCATCCTTCCTGTGCTAGATCAAAGGATTATGTTATTTTCACTCCTCATTTTCCTGGCAGATTTATATATTCATTTATTTATTCAAAAGCTTATAATTATACCTTGAAATATTTTAGATATTTTAGCTACAATGATTAGCAGCATAGATAAATTCTTGTTCTCAGGGACTTTATATTGTAGTGGGAACAGGAAAAATAAAAAGCAATCAAATAAATGAGATAATTTGATATAGTTATACAGTTCATGAAAAATAAAATAGGAAAATGGTATTTAACGAGACTCATTGAATGATGAATACAAACCACACTAACCAGCAGGCCTACCCCAAAAGAAATAGGAAAAGCAAACGTCAGGTTTCATTTGGTTCCCAGATGGACAACTGATTGACTCAGGACTATTGACTCAGGACTATTCACTGAAAAACCATGCTTCTTCTATTCCTCCAGCGTGCCACCTTTATCGTAATTCAAGTGGTCCTGGAGGAATGGGTCTGTGTCTGCTCTCTCCTGTCTTAATTAGTCTGTGGTCTTTACTTGTAACCGATTCTTATTTTGTGATTGTAACTATGCTCTAAGTCTTTTCTGGTAAATCAAATTCTCTCATTCTGTAATTCTTCAAGTTTCCCTTAACCATTCTG